GGATACTATTTTATTATTTTTGAAATACATGAAATTGAATGATCCTATCCGGGTAGTGAGCACTAATTTTTTTTGGGGGCCCTCAAAAATTTAAATGTAGAGAAGAGGGAACAGCAATGGCATGGAGGCAAGTGGTTGCATGATTGGCTTTTTATCAGCCCGTGTATTGTTTTTATAAATTAATAAATTAATTAACTGTTACCATATTTTTTTTAAAGTGGAGCTGAATTGGTATAATCGTATTGGCTAAATTTCACATATTTTGGGGTCTAAAATTACCTTCATAGCAAAAGGGCACCAGAAATGTATTAATAAGAATAAGAGCAACAACCATGCACTTTGAAGGCATTTGCGGTCTAAACAAGAGCAGCTCAACTTTACCTGGGATGGGGGTGAAATCCAAATATCAGTTGATTCCTGTTGATGTGCAGGGCTGGTAACAACTCATTTTTTGTTATTAAAACATCTAAATATATTTCATAGATTTTTAAATACATTTTTTCAAGTAATTTCTCAGACCTGCTAAACTCCACCCTAAAAAATGCTTCATATCACATTCATCTTGTGACATCATCTGTCAAGCATTAGTGAGCTAACGAGAGACAGTGGTATGTAGCTTTACCAGAGCTGATCACCTGTTTACAATATACCATACTGTAGCGGCTCTTACATTCGCCCTACTTTCACCGTACATTCATGTCTCCTGTATTTTTCCATCACGGTACTTATTTATATTCATTATTCGGACCACGTGTGTTCATTCCTCCAATCGAGCATCGTGGTTCCGCGCATCGTTCACCCGCGTATTTTCAACGCCACGAGTTTTTTTCTCCACTCCCGCTTACACCTCGGTCGAGTCAACAACTCCTGCTTACATCTCAGTTGAGTCAACACGTCTCTGCACAGGTGATTTCCTCTCCGGGCTTGATTCTACTGTGCCTATCACTTCTATCGGCACATCTTCACTTTCTCTGCCGTGTTCATCGGGCTGCAGTCTTCCAGTGGAACAGTTAAATCTAGTTCCGACATATATGGTGCTTGGTTATCCGCTGGGAGCTGCCAGTTTCTTCACCGGTAGTCTTTCACCCACATGAGCTCGACTCACCGCAGCTCATCTAAACATTCATCATCAAGGTTCGGCTCATCAATCGAGCGACTCACTGCTCAGCACCACTACCGGCTTTGATGTCTGCATTTTCTTCCTTGGCCTCCGACATCAAGCGACTCACTGCTTTCGTCATCGAGCGCCACACATCTCTTCTCTTCTCTTCTATTCTCGCCCGAGAGCTCCATCTACATTCATCATCATCACGAGCGTCGGCGACGACATCGCGTTCTTCACGGTTCTTCAACCACGTCAACGAAGTCGCGTTTCCGCCATCAAGCCTCCGCACATCATCGCGTGAGCCCCTTCCTTCGTTTTCATCTCTCTTCTTCTTCATTGGACTTTCGACGGCATTTCATATATGTCGTAAGCTCTATTTATTCATCGCATTTATTCATGTTCATTCTTATCTTTGATCATTATGTAACTACGTGCAATATCTTCAATTCTCATTTATGCATTCTCATTCCGATTCTTCGGCTTGTGCTTAATTGGCTACACTTTACCAAGTGTACGGCCAGCCTCATCAGTACCCAATAAACTAACGAAAAGGGAATACTTTCTTTCATGTATTTTTATTGTCAGTGCAACCTTGTTTCCTCGTAGCTAAAATAGAAATAAGAGTTATGTTGTGTGACGAGTGAACACGCTTTCAAATATCCATTCACAATACCTCAAACTCATATCTCTACAATACAATACCAATATAGGAGTTGCTATGTCAGACGTGCTGTACGTAGCATAGCCAGGAAAAGAAAGGTAATGTGGAGGTATTGTATGGAAGAATGCAATTCTTTTGTGAGCATATGCTGAGCTGGGGGAAGTTAATAATTTTGTATTTTGTTACATATCAAATGGATAACACATGAAGTAAAGTGAGTGAATCAGTTGACCAGTTCAGAGAATTACATGTAGATGTGGTCAATCGTCTGAGTCGGTGAAAATGAAAACTAAATGTTTTCAAAATCTTACCAATATTATTAGATAGTGAACTTAGATCACGCGCGAACTATGGTCACGCCACCATTATAGAGGCGGTCATGCAAGCCAGATGTAATCTCAGCGGAACAACCGTTGATATCAGAGCTGAAGCTTTCGGTCAATCTTGTTGCTAGTAGGCGTAATCCCTGCAGCAGTAAATACTTCATGTAAATCTCACTTACCATTAGTTGTCCACACGCTCTTACTTGGACCAACTTGCCACGACTTAGTTAACACGACCTTCCACCGACCATCGTAACTAAAGGCCCGGTCACACAGAGGGGACGCATGGGGGAAGCACGGCCGGCGCATGGAAAATTTGCAATTTTGGCCAGTGCGTTGTCGTTCGCTAGGCGTGCGTCATCATTCGTTACTCGTTCGTCGAGCGCGCTGGACCCACGCTATGCATTCGTCGTCATTCGCTGTGTGCGTCGGTTTTTTTTTTTAAAACATGCTCAAAAGTGTGCGCGGAGCTCGACGCATTAATGTACACGCCAAAGGCACGCCAGACAGGCGCGGATCCAGGATTTCTTAGGGGAGGGGGCCCAATTTTTTTTTTTTTGCTCACGAAAATTTGAAAATCGCGCCGGCCGAAAAGTCGCTCAGTGGGGGGGGGGGGGGGGGGGGGGGGGGGGGGTGGGGGGGGGGGGGGGGGGGTAGTGAGCACATTTTTTTTTTTTTGATCCTCAAAAAAATTTCCCCCCCCCCCCCCCCCCCCTTGAGGGGGGGGGGGCCAACCCCAAAAATAGGTAAAAATCACGTGATTTTACATGATTTTTTTCTCAAATCTGGATCCGCCACTGACGCCAGACATGCGTGGAGCGCGCTAGACCAGCTCCAGACATACGCGGCGCACACGCCCTGCATACGCACAGCGCGCTAGCTACACGCTGTGCATTTTTTTGTCAGCTCGCTAGCTTTTCCAAAATTATGACAAAAGTTAGGCACACGGCCTTTTCCGATTTCCAATGCGCGGGCCGTGCGTCGTAGAACGCGGTGCATGCGTGGACCATTCGTCCAGCGCGCTAGCAACATGCTGTGCATTCGTGGAAGTTGTTATCATGTGCGCTCTGTGTACGGTCTGTATGCGCGATGTTTGCGCCCTGTGTGCGCTCAGCGCGCTAGCAACACGCTATGCATTTGGTGTCAGCTCGCTGTAGCTTCGAAAACAGTTGGGCGCACGACAACGCACTGGCCAAAATTGCAAATTTCCCATGCGCTGGCCGTGCGTTCCCCATGCGTCATCTCTGTGTGACCGGGCCTTATACCGTGCGAATCTAATTTGCATTTTGATGTAACAGACAACCCTCGTGCAAGGTCACAGATACTCCCGGGTGTAATTGCTACGGGTTAGGGTAACGGTCACGTCTTATTTACGTCTTGTACTACGTCTTTAAGACGACATAACACGACGTCAAAAATACGTAAACTTGCACCCGCGATTTTTTAACCCCAAAACTAGAATTGAAACGTTAACACCGAGTTGTAGTAATGGTGTTAGATTTTAACACCAAAGGCAGAATTACTTCAACACCAAAATTGGAATTGAATTGTTTAATTCCAAACCCTGGTGTTAAATAACACCAGTTGGTGTTTTCCGATATAGATACCGGGAAAGTGTTAAAATTAACACCCTTGTTTTTGCAGTGTACAGTTCTCGACTCTTAATCCTCGTCTGAATTCAGGTTCCCCCCCCCCCCTTCCCCCTCAGTCACAAAGGAATTCTAAGTAGTAGAATATTAAGTAGATCCTGTACAGGATAAAACTTAAGCGTACTTCTCCCATATTCTCATTTTGTTTTATATCCCCTTTCAAACCCAACAGTCTCTTTCAGGAGTACCCACATGGTGAAACTGCAAACTTACATAGTTTTATCCGTCTAATGTATTTTTCCAACTACAACGTACATACAACTTACTTCATCTTCATAACTTTATTTTGTAGAGAAACTTAACATTAATTTTTTTTTTCTAGATCCTTGTCAACTTAGCCCTTGTCTAAATCAAGGTACTTGCCTGTTAGATCAAACAGAGCAGTTATCAATTTGTCGGTGTCCCCAAGGCTTTAGTGGACCGAGGTGTGAATTTACAAGTAAGTATCATATAGCTTATTGAGAGCGAAAAATGTGCATGTACCGCAAATATTTTTACTTTTACAGTATATTAAACACAGTTCTTACTATGTATTCAGACTACAAGAATTCATTATATAGATTTTGTCCAAGTCTGAATGCCATATAAGAAACATCCTGTAACGAAACGTTGTCAAGCAAAACGCACGTTTTAGCATCATTTCAAATAAAAACTGGAATAGAATCAGGGTCCCATAATAAACTGAACGTCATATTGTACAGAAATTGTATAATGGGGCAGGGCCAGGGCTTATGGTGAGTGCGCAGTGATGATAAGCCAGCTGCCATGTCAATTGACCTGAAATTAATTATTTTCTTCATACGTTTCTTTATACGATTTATTATCTAGTCTGTACACCTCGTTAGTACCGAAACCATGAAAATCAAACTTTCTTTTACAGAGAGATGAATGAATTGGAATTATATTCAATTGTATTTTCCTTTCTTGTTCTAGACCCTTGCCAGCCCAATCCTTGCTCCAATGGCGGTCAGTGCGTAGCTATTACGTCCCAGGGACTGCAATTCACCTGTTTCTGCCCCAACTCAAGGTTCTATGGTCCAACATGCAATTTCCAAGGTGAGTCGTTAGGACATACTTAATTCATGCAGGGACCTCCCGGTTACGAGAGCACAGCTCAACCGCTGAGTTATTGTACCACATCATGGACGCAGGGCCCACTTTCAGACATCCGGTTCCCTGGTATATTTTGATCCTTATCATCATCATTGTTGCTGTTGTTGTCTTTACTATTAAATTTAAACACTCATATCCATGTATTCTTTATGTCAATAGATGGCTGCGCGCCTCAGAACCCCTGTCTCAATGGCGGTATCTGTAGCACTTTAGATGTCTTTGGCTCCTACTCCTGCAACTGCCCACCAGGCTGGACTGGTACAAACTGTAATCAACTAGGTAAGGGTCTCATTTATCAATGATAATCCGAGGGGCCAGTGACACAGAGACGTAACTCCATTATGGCCATTTTGGAGAAAAAGTGGTTCATGTGTCACTGAGCACTTGGGCCTTAGCCATTGACTTTAATGGGGTGTTGACTGAAGTTAGGTCTTTGTCTTTCCTGGTGAGCCCACATTTTTCTGAACATTTTGATATCAAATACTCATTTTGGCAAAATATGGAGTTACGTCTTTATGACCCCGTTCTCACTCACTTCGTTGGAGCGCTCTGGAGCGCTCTAACTAAGACCCGCTCCTCAGGAGCGGTTCTTAGGTGAGTGAGAACGCTCAAAGTGGTCCAGGAAGCGGACTTCTGGACCGCTCCAGAAGTCCACCTTCCGAGGTGGTCTTGAGGAGCGGGTCTTATTAAGAGCGCTCCAGAGCGCTCTAACGTGCAATGTGAACGGAAAGCGTACTTTGAAAGGAAGTGAGCTAGTGACCTTCGGTGCGAAACATGTAGTACGGTACATAGGGTTTGGATTCCGCGCGCGAAAAAATTGACCCGCCTACCTGAGCTGCCATAGCAACAAGACCACTTTGACTTGTGGAGCGGTTTGAGCCATAAAAACTGCTCGGAGTGTGAACGCTCGCAAACCGTTCCTCAAGACCCGTTCCTCTGGAGCGGTCTGGAGCGGTCTAACTAAGACCACTTTCAAAGTGAGTGAGAACGGGGTCTATGTCACTGAACCCTCGAATTAATAGTAGGCCTAATTGTTTTTTATACCGGTACTGGGTATAGCCACATGAGTATTAGAAATGCTCTTTCTGCAATTATTCATCATTCCGGCATTGCAAGTTACATATTTATTATACATTCATTAGACCTTTTATTTTTGCTTGTCATGATTCTATTTCTTGTGCCCCCCCCCCCCTCTATCTTTTAAGAAAGACCTAGATCCAGCCGTGGCAATGATATCATCTTTTGACAATGTCTTACCAGTTGATTAAAATTTACAGTGGTCATATACATATCCTTTAATAGTTGCTTTGAACTTTACTTGCTAAATGTAATTTTATCATTGATATCCCCTTAGCCTTTGAGTATTTGGATCGTTTGTATCAGGATTGTAAGACTTTAGATGACATCAAGAGAAAACTGAAAACACACCTAACATTAAGTGTTTACAGCTGGGTATGTTTTCTCATGTTTTATTGTGAGCACTTTTAGAGTATGCCTCCGTTACGAAGTAGCCGGAGGCATTATGTTTTCGGGTTGTCCGTCCGTCCGTCCGTCCGTACGTACGTACGTCCCGTTCTCGTGATCGCGTTATCTCAAGAACCGATTGATGGATTCCTGCCGAATTTAGTTAATGTATGTATCTTGCAGAGCCAATGAATTGATCAAATGTTAGGGTCACGAAGTCAAAAGTCACAGGGTTCAATAAGAATGCAAAAATAGCTGGAGATCACATCATTATAGAACCGATGGACAGATTACTATCAAACGGGGGACATGTATGTATCTTGCTGAGCCAATTAACTGATTAGATTTTAGGGTCATGAGGTCAAAGATCATAAAAGGGTCATACATGTATATGAAAAATAGCTTGTATAATCATGATGTTCTGAGAACCTGTTAATGGATTACAATTAAACTTGAATTTGAAAGATTGCTTCTGTTTTGGTTTGTGAAATTTGCTCTATGGCGGAGGCATCAGTTTATACTGCGCGCAGTCGAAGTTCCATCTAGTTTGTTTTTTGTTTCAAGTATTAGAACCATTACTTTCAGATGTGAGATAGATAAACAAAAACAAAATAGCATGCTGTATGACCTGATTTTTAATCAAAAATATAATGACCGGGTGAAGCTCTTTTTTATTCTATCAGACAAGACAGGGCTTTAGAAGAAAGTTTTCGTGGGGAATTCGACACCGCTCGGGTGTTTACCCAATAACAGGTGTTGTCAATCACCAGGGTTAGCCTTCAGTTTTTATGATCATTGGACCTTGGTTGCGTTTATCTAGGAAATTTTTGGCTAGAATCAGGTTTCTCAAACGTCTTTCAGGCAAATTAAGGGTGCGTTCAATCGAATTTTCGAAGCTAGAATCACAAACATGAATCACAAATCAAAACGCCGTTACAAAAAACAAGGTCACTGCGGTTAGCGTTCAAGCGATTTTTCATCAACGCTGATTCTAGCTCATTTCGAGCCCAGCCACTTCGCATCACACTCGCAGTTTGACCCAGGAAGTATAGGTCAACTTTGGCGCGCGCTTTTTGGAATTGTTTACGGCCAACTGTCGACTGCTGTTTTGAGCATAGATCGCAATAATAAAACAAAGAATGAGAAGGTGATGGAAGGAAGAAACACAAAAGAACATAAGGAAAGACAGAAAGAGAAAGTGATAGAGTTATTAAAACAAAGAATAACGTAAGAGAAGGTGATATAAGGAAGAAACAAAGAATGACATAAGGAAAGGCAGAAAGAGAACGTGATAGAATGCTTAAAACAAAGAATTACATAAGAAAAGGTGATAGAAGTAAAGAAAAAAGAAAAAAGAATAACATAAGAATAGAAGGAAGAAACAAAGAATAACAAAAGAGAAAGTGATAGAAGGAAGAAACTAAGATAACATAAGGAAAGACAGAAAGAGAAAGTGATAGAATGATTGAAACAAAGAATAACATAAGAGAAAGTGATAGAATTATAACAACAAAGAATAACATAAGAGAATGTGAGTGAAGGGAAAAAACAAAGATTAACATAAGAATAGAAAGAAGAAACAAATAATAACAAAAGAGAAAGTGATAGAATTATAAAAAACAAAGAATTACATAAAAAAGGCTGAGAGAAGGAAAAGAACAAAGATTAACATAAGAATAGAAGGAAGAAACAAAGAATAACAAACGAGAAAGTGATAGAATTATAAAAATAAAGAATAACATAAGAGAAGGTAATAAAGGAAAAAAACAAAGAATAACATAAGAATAGAAGGAAGAAACAAAGAATAACATAAGGAATGACAGAAAGAGAAAGTGATAGAATGATTGAAACAAAGAATAACATAAGAGAAAGTGATAGAATTATAACAACAAAGAATAACATAAGAGAAGGTGATAGAAGGAAAAAACAAAGAATAACATAAGAATAAAAGGAAGAAACAAAGAATAACATAATGAAAGACAAAAAGAGAATGTGATACAAGGAAGAAACAAAGAATAACATAAGAGAAAGTGATAGAATTATAACAACAAAGAATAACATAAGAGAAGGTGATAGAAGGAAAAAACAAAGAATAACATAAGAATAAAAGGAAGAAACAAAGAATAACATAATGAAAGACAAAAAGAGAATGTGATACAAGGAAGAAACAAAGAATAACATAAGGAAAGACAGAAAGAGAAAGTGATAGAATGATTAAAACAAAGAATAACATAAGAGAATGTGAGTGAAGGGAAAAGCCAAAGATTAAGATAAGAATAGAAAGAAGAAACAAAGAATAACAAAAGAGAAAGTGATAGAATGATTGAAACAAAGAATAACATAAGAGAAAGTGATAGAATTATAACAACAAAGAATAACATAAGAGAAGTTGATAGAAGGAAAAAACAAAGAATAACATAAGAATAAAAGGAAGAAACAAAGAATAACATAATGAAAGACAAAAAGAGAATGTGATACAAGGAAGAAACAAAGAATAACATAAGGAAAGACAGAAAGAGAAAGTGATAGAATGATCAAAACAAAGAATAACATAAGAGAATGTGAGTGAAGGGAAAAGCCAAAGATTAAGATAAGAATAGAAAGAAGAAACAAAGAATAACAAAAGAGAAAGTGATAGAATTATAAAAACAAAGAATTACATAAGAAAGGCTGAGAGAAGGAAAAGAACAAAGATTAACATCAGAATAGAAGGAAGAAACAAGGAAAAACAAAAGAAAAAAGTGATAGAATTATAAAAATAAAGAATAACATAAGAGAAGGTGATAGAAGGAAGAAAAAAAAGAATAACATAAGAATAGAAGGAAGAAACAAAGAATAACATAAGGAAGGACAGAAAGAGAAAAAGAGAGAAGGAAAACAAGGTATAACATAACGGAATAGGCCACGATAAAGAGCATGGTATAGTAAACGCAAATTGCATGAAAAGCAGGCGCGCGGTTTTTGCCCAAACCGGAACAGGCTCCGTCATACAATCATGATTGAGAACTCCGTCCGTTCAATCGAATTTTAGCGACCGTGATTCTGCAGAATCATGATACAAAACGCATCTTTTTCAGCGTTTCATGTTTGTGTTTTCAAACACGTTTATTTTTACGACCGACGAAAAAATCGCTTGAACGCATTGCGTTTTAAACTAAACGTCTTTAGAAACCGTGATTCTAGGGTGAAAAAGTGTCGATTAAACGCACCCTTAGAAGTAGATAAACGCAAAGCCTTTTTCAAACGTCTTTAGATATGGGCATATCAAAAGACGCAAAAAGGTGCGTTTTGTATGTGACATACAGCCAGAATCACGTTTCTGAGAGGTCGATAAACGCAAAGCTGTTTTGAACGTCACATACAAATAGGACCACACAGGTGTTGTGTACAAGCATGTGTGTGAATTTGACCTCCGAGAAACTGTCTGCTTCCCGGGTCAAAACAGCTGGGCAGACACAAGGCCTTTATTTGAATCGTGAAGAGTAGATAAACGCGATATCCCGCAAATCACGATCGTATAGTGGGGTATGATAGTGGGGTTCGATAGTGGGGTACGATATGTACATATCTAGTGGCAAGCCTAGATAAACGCGCTCCTTATGTAATGCTTTGCTTTGCCCGAAGACTCTCGAGCTCTCCGAGAGATTAAGGGGTAATTCTTTACTAGCCTACGGGTTTGCTGCGTGCAGATTTATACTCCCATTATTGGTATTTCCACCAAGCCTGATGTCAGTGAATTATGGCCTTCTGCAGATGGAAACTGACGATTCACTCCCTTTAAATTTAGCAAAACAATTATCAGATCCAAAGAATATTGAGTGAATACATAGAAATTATTTAAAGAATTAAGTACATGTTGAATCTGATAAGGATGACCAATTTTAACACTCTTGAATGCTATATCAAGATAAAGATTGTTTTCCGTCAAGCATATACATATAAATGTCATTCTGAAGAATCAAGCCAAGAAATAGTTTTGAGATCATAAATGTGTTGCTGTTGTTCGTTTTAAAAATTGTATTTTTTATTGGAAATGAACATACAGGTGATATAGGTAGGATCACTCCAGAAAGGTTGGACATTCATACATATTATGAAGCCAAATCTTGTTTGATTTGAAAACAGTGGGTTTTTTTTATATTACCAAGTGTGGTATAAAATCTGACTTGGGTTATCAATCCATCATAGCAAAAGTAGCCAAAAACTTAAAGTGTAGAAAATAAAGAAAAAATATGGGGCGTCGGACGTTCATCATAGAAAACTGTTTGTCAGACTTTTCAAATTAAACTTTAAAATATTTGTGATTTGTAGGAGCAAAGTCTTCAACTTGTTGATAAGACCTGCACTGTTTTATGTTTCTTTTGTATTCTTTCCAATGTAATTGAATTTAGCGAAAGCCTTTGTTTCAGACTTTGAACAATAGGTGACCATATTTGGCACATTTTCAGACACTGTAGATCGGACCCCAAAATGTTATTTGTGGTAATTTATCTCTGCTGATTTCACAAACTAACAAAACAACCAAACAAACTTCATGGGTGTCTATGACCATTAAAAGTATAACAACAACATTTTTAATGCTAAATATATTACTCATTGCGGATAAAGTATCGAAAATAATATCGATAGTGACATTCGTTTGTCTCGCAATGTATGGTCAACAAGGGATCTAAGAGATCACGACGTTTCGTGTGCCACTGCAACACTTCGTTAGGTGATAACATATATTGTTGTTTTGTTGTCGTTTGGTATTATCGGCGTTTCATTCTTTTTTAGAATATTTACGCCTTTCACTTTTTTTTATTTTAAACTATTTGTAAATTCGTACTCTTTTAAAATCATAGATTTTTTTTAATATTAAAATATCAGATCCACTGGTCCGTGAAAACCCCTCACCGCAATCTTCTCGGCTATCATTGGCCTAGGCAACTCTGGTGCTGGTGAGAGGATTCTGGGGTAGATCTTCAGAGTCTCTTGATTGGGGCTTACCGTCGTCAACCCGTCTTTACTCCTTCTTTCCTTTTCTCTTCTAGTATTTTTCCTTTTTTTTTAAACCTTATTTTTCTATCAAAGTAGGTATCAACATCTTAGAGAATTTTGTTGTCGTGCGATGTGTGCAACAACAACAACAACAACAAATCTACTAGCATTAATTAACTAATAACCCTTAATTCATAGATCCCTTTTTCTTTCTAACGGGCCACTTCGGGCTGCTTCCGGTATATATATATTTTTGCAAGAAAGCATATCATCAGAATTTTATTTCCAAGATCTACAACCAATTGGAATCAGCAGGCTTTAATATATACTCTAAATTATATTTCGCTCCTTTCAGTACCTTGTCACGACTGCGAACTTCCGAGAAACATCACTCAAATGCTCGAAAGCATTTCAGAGGTAAAATTTAACTTTTCTTTTGTTTAAATATTTTATTTGTAATCAATTTTAAAATCAACAAAAACACAAATTGTATTGAATCTCAGGCTTGATTTTGTTATTTTTATTCGTTGAATAGAGATACAAACATTACATAGGCCCTTTGAATTTAATCACATAAAATTTCCAACAAACTAATTGCTCAAAGCGCTGGAAAACAAATTTCTCCCCTTAGTTCATCTAGGAGATATTCGATTTTTGACAATATAAATATGTATATACAATGCGTCCCAGAAAAAACGAAGCCGAGAATATTCGATGTTTTATCATAACTTAATCAAATTAATACAATAGACGAAATACTTCATGGGTGGCTGATTGTCAACGAAACAGAGTTAAGTCTGTTGTCAATCGCTGCTTGTTGCTACGGTAGGCAGCCAGTGAAAATGAATTCGTTTGATCAAATTATGGAAATGCAAGCATTACTTAAACAAACAGAACTTTGTTATTTCTTGCTCATTTTTCCTGATTGAGGTGTCATATGGAAGGGCAAATACTGAACTTTCCAGAAATATGATTTTCTCTTCGTAATCCAGATACCGTCCGCCAAATGAGTTTATGGTTCCCTCTCTTCGAACTTTAATCACGCATGCGTGAACTATGCATCATATGAGTTCATCAAATGAAGAAGGGGGATCTAAGCTTTACAAATATGTATCATTTATTAATTATAATTGTGATTAATTTATGATAAACATCGATAATTCTCGGTTTCGTTTTTCTGGGACGCACTGTATATATATATATATATATATATATATGTAAGTTATTAAGCGAATCAATGGTATGGTATAATCGGGGATCATACGGAAGTGTTTGAAGTGTACAAAGACAGTTTAAACAACATCAATTCTTAGGTTTTATTAACCTTATCTTAATTTCTGAGTAATGGTATTTCGGAATTATCAACCTTAAATACGAACCTTCGAAAAACAAGAAATACAAGTTTTCTCCATAATCATTTTCACAATTTCTTCCTTCCAGAGAAATTTGACGAATGACGTGGCTCTGGAAGTTTCAGAAAACATCGCGAGGCTCGTGACTGAGAACATTTCGGCAGCCGATGTTATACTCGTGTCCAATATTTCATCCAGGATTGCCGATCTTAACTATACCGATACGGATGTTAGTTCATATCCCATAATGCAATTCAAAATTTTAACAAAAACTACCTCGCCTTGTTAGCCACCTATCGGAGAAGGATTTCGATTGGGCCAACAAATATCAGAGTTGGGCTCTAAATTGCCTCGAAATTGGTCAGACTCTTTGATCTCATGTCGGGCAATTTTTTTACCCTACTTCTTTATGCAGTTTGGAAGAAATTTACTGCATGAATTCAGAACACAGGGTAGCTTTGGTAAAGCAAAAGTAATACATGTGGTAGTTCTATATAGGTGCTTTGAACATGCCTTGCGATTGGTAATGGTATATACTTGATATGCAAATATCACACGTTTCGGATTGGTGAAATGATGGTCACATTGAATTGAATTGAATTGATTGTTGAATTGAATCGGTTTATTAGAAAACAACCTCACGACATGCAGCTCAAGGCTGATATTATCTTTTTTTTACAAAGTAATCATATATTTCCATTATAACACAAACATGAAAGTACAAAAGCAATATAACAAATAACGATAACGGTGGCAACACCACACAGCAATATTATAAAATTTAGAAACATATTTATGTTTGCTTGCATACCATATTAAGATCTTGGATTATGTGGTAACGATTGCAAGCAACATTGCTGATGTTGGCATGGAGAAGCTTCGGGAGGCCGAGGAAGAAGAGGACGCTGTGAGTCAATTCGTGCTGTCTTTCGAGCGACAGCTGAGCAACGTTCAATTAGATGATGGAGAATCTATTAGCATCACAAGGCCTAACGTGGCAGTACAGGTGACCAACAATGATGAGAGCACAAATTAGTTTTCAAAAGAGTAGATTAAATTGCCACTTTTTTCCCCCAAACATATATGATTACCGTACAGACAAACCTTAAGAAGAATACCGTCTGGCTGGAAGCGAAATATTTTGAAGCGAATCTCCCCCTCCCCCCCCCCAAAAAAAAGGTACACATTCTGAATAAAGAAAATAATTAATGCGTAATGCCTATTCTATTTTACTCTCACAATTCAAGATTTTAACATTGTATCATTGTATATCGAAGGGTTGAAATAATGTTGTTTATAAAGAGGTACGTTACAATGCTGTTTAACATTTTAGCGGCAATGTTTGCACGTTCTCGGTACTCCTTTTATATCTTTTTTTTGAGGAGGTCTTTGTCCTTAGCCCCCCCCCCCCAGGCCCTCTATTTCCCCCTCCCCCCCCCCCCTCTCTCTCTCTCTCTCTACCTTTCATTTATCCTGACCTCATTTTGCTCATCCAAAACAGATCCGGAGTGTAGCACCTGATGACTTCAGCCAAGGTCTGGTCATAGCGCGAGATCTCCCCACGTCAAGTACTCAAGAACTGACCGCATATAACATCAGCCTGCACAACGCAACGGATTTCAATAGACGGGACAAAAGAAATAATACCGCAGCTCAAGTAAGCATCCCGAAGGAGATCTTCTCCACTTCTTCATCATCGTCTCAAAATTCAACCACCGAATTCGATATGCCCAACAACGAGAGCCACTACCAGAAGCTGGTGTTCAACGTCTACTCCTCGCCATCCCTTCATATATCCAGGTCATTACGTAATATCAGCGAGAGTCATGAAGGTTTCAACCGATCGGCCAATACGCTTGTTCTGTCTCTCAAGATTGGAAGGAGAAAGGTGGAGATGGTAGACGAGTTGATAAACTTCACCTTCACACCACTCGAGGTAAAAACAGAGGTTTTATTTTTCTAAATGTAAGGTCACTGATTTTGTTTCGAGAAAGAGCATCCATCTTGCGAAACACTGTGTGTATGTGTGTGTGTGTGTGTGTGTGCATGCTAAAACAGAAAGCGTTTCGTATCAAGTTCTCAACCCTGGCCTTTTCTTCTCGTGGTATACTTTAGTCTTTCAAAAGGCAGGGAGATTACACCGTTTTCGAAAGGGAGAGATTCCTATTTCCGAACGCACCTATACAGAAATATATTGTCTCTCGAGTGGTGATCATAATGTTTCTTTGAAGAAAAAAAAAATTGCTGTTGTTGTTGTTGTTATGAGATGTTGAACCACTCAATATCCCGACATGTTGTTAGGATATCGTTCGCTCTTATATCTTGAGAAACGATGAGAATCTAAACCACAGCCTATTTTAACTCATATCCTGCCATAAGGCCGCATGCACGCTACCGTTATAGTGCTTTGTACACGCGAGCGCGTTATCGATTGGGTGCTTTATTCACGCGAGCGACTCATCGCTTCGGTGCTTTATGCATGATTGCTCGCATACGTATTAGCAGTTATTTTTTTGCTCATTGTACTGTGCATAGTGTTTCGCTTATCTCAAAATTAACTTGGCACAGGGGGATTTGAGGCTTGGCACATCGGGTATTAGCCCTGCCCAATAAACAAAATCACGTGAAAATCACGTCAATATCAAGGTATCGACTTGAGGAGAGTTACGTTCTTCAAACACCGGACATTTACGTAAATGTGTTAATACGTTTATTGCATTAGGTAACTTAAAACACACGTACACTAAATCACGCAATTGTCACTGCGATATCACCATTATAATAACGTGATTATCCCTACCTTGGAGACCATGGTTTATAAACCTAATACTCCCGTGTTTGTTTTGTTATGAAATTACATCTTCATACACGAAATTATCGCGTCACAGAAACACGTGAAGCGTTAGTGATAGTTTTAGTCAAAATATCTGCGTGAAATTCACGTGAATATTACGAGGCTGATTTGAGATGAATCATGTTCTTCATTCACGTGAAATTTACGTCGAAGAGGAAATATGTTACTGTAACCCGCGTTCAACCCAATAATTACGCAAATGTTACACAATAAATAAACCAAAATAATGACGTTCTCATCCCGTTTCTGAACATCGTGTCTTGGATCTTCCATAATTACGTCCAGGCGCGCAGGAAGCAGTTTGGGATTAGAGGGGGTTGGGTGGGGGGGGGGGGGGTGCAAACATCCCAGAAGAGAAAGCTAGTTGCAACTGGTCCAGTTGATGAACCATGTGATGCCAACTGGTAACCCTGGAAATTGAAATGGGCTAAATGATCCAGTTGATCCAGGCCAGTTATAATTCAACTGGTCTAGCTGAGCCATGAGAACCATTTGGTAAAACTTCCAACCAGTTGAACAGCAACAAAACTTCAATACTGGTACGTCTGTATTTCCAATGTAAGGGCATTGGTAATAAGTAGACTTACATAATTGAATTAATCGAACAAATTTCGTATACTTGTACTTTATTGAAATTATTTTAGTTCACAGTTAATGTTTCCCTTATTCATGTTTAACTAAATGTAATTTATACGAAGTAGCGAAATGTCCTAATAACTGGTAATTTATATTTGTAGTATTTCGAAATGAATTGCATATAACTAAATCATCAGTAATTAAGAAATATGCTGTAAATTCAGATAAATTGTTTAAAAAACATAGATCTGCACGCACCCCATATTCAATATGCAAATGAATTGGTGTCAGCTGGGTCAACTCGAAATATGCCAACGCTCAGTCATCAACTGGTGCAACTGGAAATATGCACACTCCAGTTGTCAACTGGTGCAATGAAAATATGCCAACAGTCAGTTATCAACTGGTGAACATAGAAATATGCCAACAGTCACGGGATTATCACCACGGAACTTAAATGGTAACTGTGAAACCATCAAGACACCCAAGAATAACTCATTTTCACACATGGAAAACACGGAATACCCAGCTTATATTAATAATTCGTTTGAGTCACGCGATCATCACCGCGGAACTGCTGGCAACTTTGACTACGGTTTAGATAGGGGTTTTAAGACACCTAATAATGACTAATTTTTCACACCTAAAAGTCACGTATGCCCTGCTTAGATTAATATTCCGTTTGAGTCACGAGATCATCACCGCGGAACTGCTGGCAACTTTGACTACCATTTAAATAGGTGTTTTAAGACACCTAATAATTACTAATTTTTCACACCTAAATATCACGGATTCACAGCTTAGATTAGTAATCAGTTTTAACTACGTGATCATCACCAAGAAAGTTATGGTAACTTTGAAACCATTTAAATAGTGTTTTAAGACACCTAATAATGACTAATTTTTCACACCTAAAAGTCACGTATGACCAGCTTAGATCAATAATTCGTTTGAGTCACGAGATCATCACCGCGGAACTTATGGCAACTTTGACTACCATTTAAAAAGGTGTTTTAAAACACTTAATAATTACTAATTTTCACACCTACATATCACGTTTTCACAGCTTGGATTAGTAATCAGCTTGAGCCACGTGATCATAACCAAGAAATTTATGGTAACTTTGAAACCTTTCAAAGAGGTGTGTAAGACACCTCAGAATTACTTGTTGAATATAACCAGAGATTCACGGACAGAACAATAAGACGATTAGCCGGTGTAAGTAACGTGATTATTACCATTAACCTTGGATAACCTGTGAAACCAATCAATAAAGGTGCTTACAAGACCAAATAATTACGTATTTATCGCCACCATCGGTTAACTGACAAAAAACTCGTTGCTTGGTCAAGTGGTTATTTGGTCATAAACAATTGATTTACAGAGGTAAGTGGAATCACGTTACTCCAGTCGCGTGATAAACTGGTGGTTTTTAGGTTAGATGAAAACGTGAACAGGAGTACCTTTTTTGTTTAAATGAAGGCACGTGTCGATAACGTTTAAATCTAGTTCAAAAGGCACTGTACTTTAAAATCACTTAAAATACACTCCCAAAAGAGGTTACTTTTTAGTGTTCTGTTTATTGGGTGTGGCATTAGGCTGTATTCATTATGGCAGGATAAGAGTTAATAAAAACAATTTTTCCTTTCTTTCATATTATTATTTTTGTAAATCCCTGAACTTAGCCTGGTCGCAATCCAGTATGTACTTTCTGGGATGAAGACCTAACAGACTGGTCCTCAGATGGATGCAGGCTGCTTTCACATAGTCTACCGAGTCGCTATAACGCAGACGAGTCGTCCAATGTAACTGGTTATGGTAGAGTCGTGTGCGGATGCAACCATCTCACTAGCTTTGCGGTGTTAATGGTAAGATTGTTTTAATAATAATGTAATAATATTAAGTAGATCTATTGATAAAGCGCAGCTACTATATAATTTAGTGTACTCTACTGCGCTGTGATGAAGAAAAAAAACTCATCACAGTGCTACTTTACAGACAAACAGTAAAAAAAATTAAATTATTTTAAAAATATTTTAAAGCTCCTGAAAACAACTGCGTCTTCAACATAACTGTGCAGACAGCAAGAGATGAGGCTTTTTTTTATGTTTAGTGGTAGACTATTCCAAAGCTTTGGAGGGCGCATTTGAAAGCACAATCTCCAAGATTTACTTTTGTTTTTGTGTGAGGTAGCTTAAGAAGCAGCCTGTCCTGTTCACTGTTCGCAAGTTACGTGCATATGGATGTGATTTAAAAGACAAATAATTTAGGTTTGACCATTCAATGCGTTGTAAAGTGACAAGCAAAAGTTTAGTTTTATAGCTAAACGAGCAAAGACATGTAACCTGTTGATGTAACCATGTTTAAGTTTTTTTTAATCTGTGACAGCAGTTAATTTGTTTCGAAATTATTGAGTTTTCTTGTTCAAGAAGGACAAAAGATAAATTAAATTTAAAAATAAATTCAGACCTACTATATTGTGTACGGGAGCATATTCACATACAAGCTATGCTTTTTATTTAGGCTCCTCACATTTTACATTGTTCTACCATGCCTGTTATATCTACATATTTCGAAATTTCATACTTATTTTCCGTACATTATATTTGATTTGAAATCTTAATTATTTTATTTTTGTGTGAAATCTACTCTTATAATAATATACGCCTGTATAAAAAAAAATTATAAAGAATATTAATTGTTTTTCTATGTAAAATGTGGAATTAATGAAACTTAATAAAAAGTCTAGAAGTTACCAATATACTGCTTTATAATAATACCTTTTATCAAGACAATATTGGAAGGTTTTTCCACATCGAATATCTAAAAACCCAACAAAATAATGGTAGTCTTTTCTTAATAGATAAATATATTGTAAAAAATTTGTCCAGTTGTCTACGATAAAAATATTAATTATTTGTCTTAAAAACGTACATTTTTGGTGGTAAATGTGGTAGAACCATCATTACTGATCTACGAAATAACATCATTATCCTATAATTTTCCCCTACATCTATATTATGATAACAATTTATCACATGCTCATATTAACTTATTTGTTGACATTAATTCATAATTTTCACTACTTTTGCAGATACTCATGGCAACAACTTAAGGTCGTCTGAAACTCTGAATGGATAAAAGCAAAATAATAATTTTAACTTTCGGCTCATTTTGTTTTACAGGACATATATCATGAGGAGCATGCATTGGAACACGTGTATAGAAACTTAAGTTACATTGGATGTGGCATCTCCATTGTCAGCTTAATCATTACGGTGGGAGCCTATCTATCAAACAGGTAAAATGAACCTACACACCATGGTACACACACGCACGCACATGCACCCAAACACCCGCACGCACCTCAAGACCACACACCGACCCACACCCTTCCCTCAAACCGGCACATCGGCCAACTTGAAATAAACATGGTTGTGGAAAGAGCCGTGAAGTGGAAATCGTTTTGATTTGTTATCGCTTTTGATGACAGTCCAACAAGTCCACTAACAAAGAGAACACATAATTTAATGTTGATAATCGTCCGTCACGGCAATACACAAAGAATAATTAAAACAATTGGATCTATTTCATTTGTTTTAATTATTATTTATATATATGTTTGTATATAAATATACGTTTACGCACACACCCACATTTTACTTCACACATTCCTTAGACGTTATGTTGCCGACAGGGGCGTTAATCCCGGGGGGGATGGGGGGGGGGGGGGGCTGCACCCCCCCCCCCCCGGCTTGAAGTAGGGGGGGGATGGCCGGTACAATCAGCCCCCCCCCCCTGATATTGCAAAAAAAAGAGAGAAAAAAAAAGGAAGAAGAAGAAGAAGAAAATGTGATTGTTTCAATTTTAGCATAATACATGAGAAATGAGTTATTTTTTTAATGTAAGTATAACTGTATAGCCTACACGGATATAGTATGTCACGATCATTAAGAGTAGTTGCGCGACGTGCGCGAACAAGCACTTCATAAACTTTAGAATAATTTTTCGTTATTTTGCAAGGTATGATTATAGCCCAGACGTAAAGTGCGCCAGCGCGCGAGCGCTTAAAAAGTGCAATCATGTATAGTAGATGCCCGCCCCCCCCCCCACTTAGTATTATTTAGGGTACGCGTACGCTCGTTCCCGCCCTTTAAAAGCACCCCCCCCCCCCCCCACCCTATCTCAGGACTGCCAACATTTCTGAATCCCCCTTTCGCCGGCTTTTCGCTGGCTTTTCCTACCTTGAGACCCCCCCCCCCCCCATTTCAGATTAGCTCTAGTCGATCAAGGGGACTGGGGGGCAATGCTTTTACTTTTCAAAATGAAATAATCCTGGATGAGCTTTCAAAGCTAGCAGGAATTTCAGGAATTTGATCCCGGGATTTGATCAATTTTTCTATGATATTCAAGATATTTTATAACCTCCTTTTTACATTTCTCAGGAGTCCAAAGAGAGAGAGAAAAAAAACCCACCCCCTTTTTAAAGAAATTAAGAGTCGAGAATGGTACAACGAATCGTCTTCTTTCTCTAATGATTTAATAAAACGTAAAAGCTTCCGCGCTTCGCGCGGAAAGGGGGGGGGGGAGGGGGGAGGGAAAAACTGAATTCAGATGAGGATTAAAAGTCAAGAATGGTACAACGAATCGTCTTCTTTCTCTAATGATTTAATGAAACGTAATAGCTTCCGCGCTTCGCGCGGGAGGGAGGTGGAGGGGGGAGGGAAAAACTGAATTCAGATGAGGATTAAAAGTCAAGAATGGTACAACGAATCGTCTTCTTTCTCTAATGATTTAATGAAACGTAATAGCTTCCGCGCTTCGCGCGGGAGGGAGGGGGGGGGGAAGGAAAAAACTGAATTCAGATGAGGATTAAAAGTCGAGAACGGTACAACGAATCGTCTTCTTTCTCCAATGATTTTATGAAACGTAAAAGCTTCCGCGCTTCGCGCGGAAGGGAGGGGGGGAAGGAAAAAACTGAATTCAGATGAGGATTAAAAGTCGAGAATGGTACAACGAATCGTCTTCTTTCTCTAATGATTTAATGAAACGTAAAAGCTTCCGCGCTTCGCGCGGAAGGGGGGGGGAGGGGGAGGGAAAAACTGAATTCAGATGAGGATTAAAAGTCAAGAATGGTACAACGAATCGTCTTCTTTCTCTAATAATTTAATGAAACGTAATAGCTTCCGCGCTTCGCGCGGGAGGGAGGGGAGGGGGGGGGAAAAACTGAATTCAGATGAGGATTAAAAGTCAAGAATGGTACAACGAATCGTCTTCTTTCTCTAATGATTTAATGAAACGTAATAGCTTCCGCGCTTCGCGCGGGAGGGAGGGGGGGGGGAAGGAAAAAACTGAATTCAGATGAGGATTAAAAGTCGAGAACGGTACAACGAATCGTCTTCTTTCTCTAATGATTTAATGAAACGTAATAGCTTCCGCGCTTCGCGCGGGAGGGAGGGGGGGGGGAAGGAAAAAACTGAATTCAGATGAGGATTAAAAGTCGAGAACGGTACAACGAATCGTCTTCTTTCTCTAATGATTTAATGAAACGTAAAATCTTCCGCGCTTCGCGAAGGAGGGGGGGGGGGACTGAATTCAGACGAGGATTAAGTCGAGAACGGTACAACGAATCGTCTTCTTTCTCTCATGATTTCATGAAACGTAAAAGCTTAGGAGCTTCGCGGGGGAGTGGAGGCGGGAACTAAATTCAGACGAGGATTAGGAGTCGAGAACGGAACAACGAATCGTCTTCTTTCTTGGGGGGGGGGGACTGAATTCAGACGAGGATTAAAAGTCGAGAACGGTACAACGAATCGTCTTCTTTCTCCAATGATTTTATGAAACGTAAAAGCTTCCGCGCTTCGCGCAGGAGGGGAGAAGGGAAAAACTGAATTCAGATGAGGATTAAAAGTTGAGAACGGTACAACGAATCGTCTTCTTTCCCTAATGATTTAATGAAACGTAAAAGCTTCCGCGCTTCGCGCGGGAGGGAAGGGGGAACTGAATTCAGACGAGGATTATTTTCGAGAATGGTACAACGAATCGTCTTCTTTCTCTAATATTGTTTGTTGTTTGTTCGTTTGTGTGTGCGTGTGTGTGTGTGTGCGTTTGTGTGGTGTGTGTGTGTGTTGTGTGTTTGTGCGTGCGCGATCGCGCGCGCTTGCGTAAATTAGTGTGGGCGTGTGCTCGTGCTAGTATGTGATGGCTATCGCCGATCATCCCCCCCCCCCCCCCCACACTCATCGGTACGGATTTACGCCCCTGGTTGCCGAGTAACTATTGCTATTGCAAAAGACATGATCATGAGGATAGAACATTAATTTCTCACCAAAATTATCTCTTTCATGAGAGACCGTCTTCATTATCCTATGTCCCATTTGCATTACCCCTTCCACATGCCTCATACAGATCCGCCACTGACCTAAGCTGTAATAATTGTTACTGGTTGAAACACTCTTTTTATTTATTTATTTGTCAAACCACAAAATCACAGAGTGTTGAGGAAGCAACAAAGATTCAAGATTCTTATACTCCTCTGCCTCACTCTCCTCTTACTCTACATCTCCTTCGTCATCATGCTCGTCCTCGACTCGACGCTAGACAATCGTGAGGTCGCTCCGATCCCATGCGCCATTTTGACGGCCGTCATCCATTACTCCCTGCTGTCCTCGATGGCCTGGATGGGTGTCGAAGGATTCAATGCCTACTTGCACATCATCAAGATCTTTGATACGTATATTCCAAGATTTATGCAGAAAGCGACACTTGCTGCTTGTGGTAATTATCATACAGTGAGGAATCGAATATTAATCTACGAGAATTAGTTTTGGCTTACTGTTGCAGCTGAAGAATACGACATAATGCACCAGTATACATGTATACCCAGGGAAGCCTTATTGACTTCCATGCTATTCTTCCTGAGGGTACTGCAATTATTATTAATCATAGGATTCGAACACTAAACCCTAGGAATGAGAGCAAGTGAATTAACCACTAAACCACGATTTCTCCACAGTGTTTTATTGTTAGGGATCGGACAATAGTCAAGATCAGAGTCAAGATCAGGGGGGTGCTTCACAAAGATTTTAAGTTGAACTTATGTCTAAGTTGGACTTACCAATTGTGGAAAGCTCTTAGCATTTTCGAAAATGCTGTGTACAACTTATTTTAAAAGGCATAAAGTGTTGATTCAAATCATTCCTAATTTCTATTATCAAGGAGATTTCATGTTCTTGATGTGGAATTTATGAAAAGTCTAAAATACTTGTAGTTTTGCTTTTGAATAATTTTAAGGCTACAAATGGCTCTCCATAATGTTTAAGTCCAACTTAAGTTAAGTTAAGTTCGACTTCGGATCTTTGTGAAACACCCCCCTGGATTATGGTTAGGAGTCGAGTTAGGGTCAGATTAAGGGTTGAGGTCATTGTGGGGCGCGGTCTTCTGTAGGTGCTTCTTAGTCCTGTTAGTGTTCTTATGTTGCATTTGTTGTTGCTTTCTTGCCATCATTATGATTGTTTACATTCTTACAATTGCTATACAAAACTTATTTTCCATACAAAATCCTGACAAAACTATTAACGATTCTAATTCAAGATATCAACTGTTGGCAAGATGTCGATGGGCTCTGGCTCATTTCAGCTATTTGCTCCTGATTGTTAATTTGATATATCTTAACTGCATTAATCAGTTTTAATTATTTTCATTATATTCCTACAGGTATCCCTGCATTGATCGTCGCCGCGACTGGGACGGTTGCAAGACAAAAGTACGCCCATCACGATCGGTAAGAACCCCTATATAAATTGTGCAAAAGAAAATATATATTTCCTTGCTCGGATGATGTCTTTATACCTCAGGCACAACATCAAACCAGGGACAGTGTCAAACCAACTCCACACTGATTCCAAATCGACAAATTCTTTTATCAAGTCTTTGTTCGATCAGGGGTCAGTCTCGTGACGGTCTAGGATATTTTTTCGAGAAGGCTTACTTCGAATCATCGGGTCATCGCGTCGAGTCGGGTGGTCGCGTCACCCGACCTTTTGTCAAGGCATGCCCCTTTATTCACGAATTGTCGGGGGAAATGTTTGTGAAATAAACCCCTCTCATCTACAAATGATCTGGTCCAATTTGCCCAACACTTTGTGAAACCCTCTAAGGCAAGTCTACGAAAGGTTGCGTCATCTTCCGCTTTCGTTTTACGAAAGGTCGTGTCACGCGACGATGACCTTCAGCCTTTAGAGAGTAACTTGCTTTTCAGAACGATACTAATCTGTCACTTTCGCTATGTTACAAAGCAGTGCTGCGTGGGCTTTAAAAGCCCAATTAAAGACTTAAATTTTCATAAGAAAGGAAAATTTCCGAGAAATTTGAGTTTGAACTTTCTGTCGGTGTCACCTCATCTTGTACTAGAAATGGGGCACTAGGCATTTCCCTCAGTGGATACTTTTAAATAAATCAAATTAGATGTGCTTAGATGTTGCCAGGAACAAGTATGTTTTTTTTTGGTGGAAACTGTTAAGCGTTTGCATTGGGAACCTGCGTGAGTGTGTATTGGGTTTTTACAGACGTGTATCAATCAGATATGATTATTTACGTCTGTTGACCAACCTTTCAACGTCACTATCCGAAAGACGTGACTCAGTTTCGAACCTGCGTCTTCGGCTGAATCAGTTTGTAACTTCCATTGTTAGCTGGGATTCAGGCGCACGCCAAAACTGCTCCGTATTCACTAAAACTTAAAAATGACTTTAGTCCTCAGGTTGGGCTCAACAAAATCAGTAGAATAATATATAACATTAAAGTGCAGTTGGCCAACGATCACTCTATTTCGACTTTTACAACGTTCTAGGTGCTTCCTCCAGTTCTGGTCTCAGATTGGAGGACTCCTCATCCCAATCGGGATCATCCTCCTCGTCAACATCGTCATCTTCTCCATGGTCATCGTCCGGTTGGTCCGATCAGCAAATCCTGAAGGTCTAGTGAGGAAAGACAAGAGAGATGAACGTCGGGAAACCATCAACCGAGTCCAGATCGCCATCTCTAACCTTGTTATTCTGGGCTTGACTTGGACAGCTGGTTTTCTGCTCTTCATCGACAAAATAAGCAAGGTGTTCCTTTATTTTACAGAGGCGATTTGGTTTCTGTAAAGACGAATGATGATTGTTTTTGCATACTCATTAGTTGTATGTCAGTTTTTAAGAATATCATACTAGAAAATCCCAAGAAAAGTATTGCTCCTTAAATGCACTTATATTCGAAATCTCACTAAAAATACAAGACCAACATTCCACCTACACGCGTGTGTAATCCGAAACCTTACAACATTCACCAATTCTCCTTTGCTTCATAATAAACATTTCCAACTCGCCTTTAGACAGTTTCTGTCACGATGTAATGATACGACCAGTACTCACTTTTATCTGGAAACGCGACAAATGAGGTTCTCCTGCGGTCTAGTCTAGGCTAAGTTTTTCCCTGTTTAGTAGGACTTGAATCTTTGCGTCGATTATGACCAAACCAGTAGAATTCTTCTTGGGTAATTCTGACTCACGGCACACGTCACTTTCAAATAATTGTCATGGTCTTCTGTGGAAAATATTTTGGTGTTTTTCTACTTAATCTCCATTATGCAGTTTCTATAGTTAGATCATCTTGATTTGTTTTTTTCTTGTTAAGATTGCAGAGGGGCTCTTCATCGTTTTGAACGCGCTTCAGGGCTTCTTCATATTCCTTCTCTACTTTGTCCGCATGCCGTTCTTCCGCAAACAATTGTGCAAGACCTGCCGAAGTGGCAAGCACGGACGAGAGGTCGTCTCGAGTCAACTTCACATTAGTGAAACTGCATCATCATCCTCATCCTCAACAACGAAAGCAACATCCGAGCTGACATCCAAGCAGACATCGAGGGGAAACGTTGATGCAGTAGATGGAGAAGCCCTACCGCCGGCTTTTATCGAACTGAATAATGTCGGTAGCATACATTTGAAAAGGTTACAAGGACCCCAAAAGTTTAATTATTACTGATAAATCGGGCACTATATAGCTGACGCAACATATTTACCATAATGATACATCTCTAGTGCTCACATCCACCACGCAAAGTGCTCAAAGGGCTTAAGACTGTAATTAATCGGCAAATGTAGATAAATGTCTTGCGGAAGGACATAAGTTCCGTTCCGAGGCTCGAACCCACGACCTTCACATCTTCAGTCAAGTGCTTAAACCACTCGACTAGGTTACCTCTACAAATTATTCAAATCTGATTTCAACAAACTGACGAAAGTCTCATTTTATTTTTTACATTTTTAAGGGGGGAATCGTTAGAAGGTACCTGCACTTTACGATATTAGAGAACAGTAGATACCTATCTTTAGTATGTTGAATAAATCTAGTCATCTGATTGTTCGAAATTGGAGTCGTGATATTAGCCATGCCCGCAAAGAAACGAACTATGCCCGTTGCCCCTGGTATTATGGGCATAGTTAATGACAAACATGCCCGTTGCCCCGGGTCAGGGGTATAGTTAAATTTTGCTGGGATCCCCTTTGGTTTACGTGTAAGACGTTTCTGTGTGCGAGCACGGATACCATACAGTGTGTGTGTGCGATTCGCGAATGATAGTAAAAATTCAGGCAACTTTCCAGCGAAGATTAACAGACAGTGTCTCAGATTATCTGTTATGTTTTAACTAATCTTTACTAAAGAAAAGGATATTAGGGAAGAATTCTTTGTAGACTATTTTGTGAATTCGGTATATAAAAGATATATGGACTGCTTTAATATTCGAGGCATGGCTGTTTCTATACTGGCTCTCGGGGACCTTACATCCTACTATGAACCCTCGCCGCGCCTTGACGCGCATCGGGGTCATAGCAGGATGTAACGTCCCCTTAAGCCTATATAAACAGTTATGTCTCTCATAGCCATGGGTGTCGATCCCGGGGGGGGGGGGGGGGATGGGGGGAATATATCCCCCCCCCCAAAAAAAAAAAATATTTCAGGTGGGGGGGGGGATGGCCTGTACAATCATCCCCCCAATAATTCACCATCAAACAAACAAAAAATAATGATGAGAGCCCGATGAGAGTAGTTAATGGTTATTACTCGCAAGATGACCATCAATATACACATTTTGCTATCTCATTTTCATAATACATACAATAGAAAACGAAGTAAGTGAGACGACCGTTTATGAGACAAGAATAAATTGAATTCTCGCTCATACGGCTTCATCAGGAATTGATGAATTTATTCAATTTATTCAATCAACAGCTTCATAATGCAGTGCGCCAAATGCAAAGCCGCAGCGTTAAAAAGCAACGAGCTTAGTAAATGTTAAGCGCGAAGCGCAAAAGTGCAAAAAAGAAGAAGAGAGTGGGAGAGAGAGAGATAATGAGAGACAGAGAGGATACAGGCGCGTAGCTAGGGGGTGGCGGGGGTGGTCGCCTCCCCCCCCCCCCCAATAAAAAAATGCAGACCCCCCCCCCCCCCCAAAAAAAAAAAAAGAGGACGTGGAAAAAAAAGGATTTAGAGTTGAGAACGGTACAACGAATCGTCTTTCTTTCTCTAATAATTTTAAAAAAACGTCGAAGCTTCCGCGCTTCGCGCGAAAAAAAAAGGGGGGGGGAAGGAATTCAGACAAGGATTAAGAGTCGAGAATGGTACAACGAATCGCCTTCTTTTTCTAATAATTACATGAAACATCAAAGGCTCAGCGCTTCGCGTTGGAAGGGGGGAACTGAATTTAGCAAGGATTAAGATTCGAGAATGGTACAACGAATCGTCTTCTTTCTCTAATAATTTAATGAAACGTCAAAGCTTCCGCGCCTTGCGCGGGAGGGGGTAACTGAATTCAGACAAGGATTAAGAGTCGAGAATGGTAGAACGAATCGTCTTCTTTTTCTAATAATTACATAAAACATCAAAGGTTCCGCGCTTCGCGTTGGAAGGGGGAACTGAATTCAGCAAGGATTAAGATTCGAGAATGGTACAACGAATCGTCTTCTTTCTCTAATAATTTAATGAAACGTCAAAGCTTCCGCGCTTCGCGCGAGAAGGGGGGGGGAACTGAATTCATACAAGGATTAAGAGTCGAGAATGGTACAACGAATCGTCTTCTTTCTTTAATAATTTAAGGGGGGAAACTCTCCCTCCCTGCACCCACCCCCTAGGAGGTGCTCACTACCGCCCCCCCTAAAATAAAATCCTGCCTATATGCTTGAGAGGATAATAACCCAGGTATCAAGCGCAGACCCACATGGGTCCCATATTCTCTAAAATGTTATCTTTATTGAGGGTGACTTGAAAAAGTTAAAAACTTGGAAGGGAGGGTGTGCAACCTGCCACACGCCTCTACCTCTTGGTTGCTCTGATCCATTGCCGAAAATATTTTGGTACCTATCATCCCCCCCCCCCCAACCGAGGATACAAATCGACACCCTTGCTCATAGCAGTCAATATATCTATACTAGTGGACAATGTTCTCGCTTCCTCTTGATCAGATTTCATGACTGATGTCTTGTCTCGTATGTTTGTGAAATTTAAGAAAATTTATTGCAGTCAGAGGTTTCTTACGGTGTAAATAAATCCGCCTTTTCTCCTTATATTGACCTACATGTAAATATTTATATTTTTCACCCCTTTGTAGTAAAAAAAAAAATACCAATTTGTATTGAATGAAGGTTATTAAATTCAATTATTAAGTTTAAAATTGTGTACATTGCAATAAATGATTATGAAATTTCACAAAACGCTGCCAGTTTTGAGACTTTAATGATTAATGATTAGAAATTGACTTAAAATTGTTGTGATTTTTGCTCTTTGTGCTCATGTATGATGCGTAATCACAGAAGCGGTCCATCTGGTTGGTGATGTAACTTGACAATTATAGTTCTTTTCTCACAATCAGTGGAAAGGTAACCTGTTTTGGTAAGCTTTCAACTCAGGTTAAAAGTTCGAGTTCAAATATGTATTTCCACTATGAAGAAGGAAAAAACAAATTATATACAATAGATAAATTACAAACTATATTTTACAAAGTATACAGAAGTTATTATACGAGAGTACATGTTATAGGCTTCGCTTTGGCATCATACATTTTGTATTATGAAGTTAATATGTTTTTTGCTGTCTATTTCTATTGAAGTAAAAGATTTGATTGCGACATCCAGTAATGAATTGTGCAGTTGAAGTAATTGATATCAAATCAAATATGGATGTACAATTTCGTTAATCTGGAATGCTTCATCTAATTTTGTTATTACGAGTTTTTATTGTTTTGCGCTTAAAGATATAATAAGTTGATAATAAATAAATTACTGAATTCAAATTTCTCTTGTTTTTTCAGTGCAATTGAGTAAATAAAAGTGCCCTATTTCTTGAAGAATTAACGGTACCAGTCAGACTATCGTTAAAGAAAATGTTGAAGGATGGATAACAATGCATCAAAATTCGCACACACTCGTGCATTCAACATAATAGCCCTATTTCATTTAAACAGCGCCAACTAGTGTCTCAGATTGATTCATTGATTGGTTGATTTTAAATTATATTCCACCACGCGAAATTAACAAAGCATAGTGCATTTGACAAAATATTACTAATTTCTTTCAGTTATATGGAAGTAATTGATCCTGAATCATAGTAATGAATGACATGAAAGAATGTTCTGTAATTCTTTAAAGGGATAGTTGGGTTCTTGTTTAATGGGACTTGGTAACATTATTCAGATGAGGGGAAATGGTGCTAAGGTAGTGATGTCAATGCTAGATGTACAATTAAAGATAATCTGAAAGTTTGAGTGAAAACAGACCATCATCAATGATAAAAATGGCACTGTTTCCCAACAATAAGCTGCATAAACCAGTAAACATTGTCACAAATGGATTAATTGAAAGACGACGGCTTTGGAGGAAATGGTCAGAAATGAAAATCTACTCTTAAATTTTAAGTAATGGCACTTGTATACTGAAGACAAACGTGTATGTCTATATCTGATTTAAGGGGAATTGTGACAGTTTAACCCTAAAAGGGCCGGGTTATTTAGGCACTCTCTCGGGCGAGGGGAAGGGAGGGGTGCCCCCTTAAAATATCGGCATATTGATAGAGTTTGTCATTAAAAAAAAACAAGTACATGAAGTTTCATTAACAAATACACGAAATCAATGACCAATAGAAACTTAATAACCTCGCCCACTGTGTAAGTTATTACCGAGCTGTGAGGTCTAGGACATTGCTAATTTGATTTGATTTGATGGGTTATTTTCCGTATACGTCATCACACATATAAATGAACTTTTAACATGTATAATCACATCAAATCATGCACTGTTATTCATAAAGGTGAAATAATTCTTTTTTTTTTACCCCAGTCTATGGAATGATTTGACAATGATCCATTCTTAATAGATCTAGAAAATAGTATACATTCTCAGAATTTATTTAATAATAGTTTGCAAGTGTTTGTTTACGTGACTGCTATAAAGCATGTGTGTGCTACTATGCTTATCAACTACGGGACCTACGGCTTTGAGTCATAGTTGACAGTAATGAGGATTAATGCCTCACAAAAGGGCACTAATAAAGCACATCGACACGGTTTTGATCATGGGGCCTCACAGGTACGAGGCCATTGCTTTGCCACTGAACCATGACTGTACGCAGCGGGGGCTAGCGTAGGGGGTAGCCCCCACAAATAAAAATTAAAAAAGGAAAATGCAAAAAATTATCAATAATTGCATTTTGCCCCGATCCCCAACATGAAAAAAAATCCTCTGTGTGGCCATGCCTTGAACCATAATGCATGGCCGTACAGAAGAATGTTTTTCCTCCCCCCAATTCGTGAGAAATTATTAAGCGTCAAGTCAGCCAGCTGGCGATTAAGCGGGGAGGGGGTAAGGAGCACTATTTTTTTTTTTACTCAACACCCTCACCCCCCCCCCCCCCCTCCCCTTGAGCCAAGGGAAGGGGGCCCGTCTTCTTCTTTTTATGAATAAGGTTTAATTTACCTGTTTTGGGGGCTAAGGTAGGGGCCGGTGCACCGGCCCCAGTAGATCCGCCTCCGTCACTGCTGCAGTATGTTCGGCGTTTCAAGAGGGTACAAATGCCGTCCATTCTATCATTCTGGGGAGTTTCAATTTGAAAGTGTGGTTTCTTTGATTGTTCATTAACCCATATCCTGTGTTTTTGCAAACAAGATTTAAGTTATCAGAATCGGTTTCATATCACTTTTTGATTAGTGTAAAGTTCCATCACATTTATATACACTAAACTCATTATAATTTGAGAAATGATAGCATTGCAATTATATTCATTCTTTGGGATATCGTCTGCTTGTGTAAATCATGCCTAACCTGAGATGTCACACATCTCAGCAGCGTTCGGAGAGCTCTTCAGGTGCTATGCCAGGGCTGTATTTAAACGTTTTGTAATTGATAATAATCATTATGGCGACTACTGCTTTGTTGGCCAAGCAAAAAACAAAAGAATATACGCCATGTTGTGACCCAGTG